TGGTATGGAAGTGTAAGGGTATCCTTTCCCCTCGGAGACTGTATTGTTACTGATTCACTACTAATTTATTTTGGAATAACAAATAAATTTGTATGGTATACAATTATTAGCTGTTTATTTAGAAATAGTGGAAGCACCGAATAAACTAAACTATCAAGTACGAGTGTTACGTGCGTGCCCGACCAAAAGTTGCTGAACTGACCTCGTTTATGTTATTCGTTTTAATCTAGAATTATGTAAAAATAATATCCTTAATTTGGTCACGTTTCTCTGGAATTAAATTGTATTTAATCAAATGCAATTGTATGGTATATTCATCGATCGGTTTTAACATGTTAATTTATTGTATTATGTATCACGTAACTAAGAATGCAGGTATATAGGGATATAGGATATAGTGTTACGCTTACAAAAATCTTTAAATCTGACATTATTTTCTTGGTGTTTGTTTAAAATTTGATTATATTATTATTCGAATGTGGTGATTCTGAACTAACAGCCATTGTAGTATATCGTCATGATATGGTTCTACGCATGCGCATCATGGCAGAAAACCCCACAAAAGCAACACAGTAAAGTAATGACAGAAATGCGTTTTTTGTCATGCAAATCCGAAATTTGATTGTCACGAGATCTCGTCAGCAGCCTCATATTGAATGAAGTACAGTTCAAGATTGGGAGATTGGCACGTTAATCAATTAATTATGCAGGGTGTGATAAAGCACAGCTAACAATTATGTATCAGTAATATACTTTTACCATATTTTGCATTTCAGGTATGACGATGCTATAATTTATGCAAAGAGGGCTATGCATAATAGAAAGCAATTATTGGGGACACATCCTAATACTGCCCGTAGCATTTTCTTTGTTGGGAACATTTACTTAAACATGAAAAAATACGATGTAGCAAGAACGCACATGGTTGAGGCTCTTAACATGGAGGAGTGCTTAGTAAAATCTGGTAAATCTTTAAGTGCAGATTGGGTTAACTTGAAGACCTCACTTCCTAATGTGTGTCTCGTTTTAGGGAGAAATAGAGAGAGAAGCGAGTATTTTCGAAGATTTCAAGTAAGTACATTTAATGTTGGTTCATTTGTGTAAGCAGTGCTTTTCGCGTGTTATTTATGGAAATATAACTTCGGTTAAGGTAGAGCTATTGTCTCATGGCACCATCAAATTCTTTTGTGTGTTACAGTATTGTATTTTGAGAAACTTGTCCTATTTTCTTTCATAAATCGCCATTTTAAAAATAATTCCTTAGAACACAATGTAAAAAAAATTGTATTTTTTGATACTTTTTAAATCCCAGGTTTTTAAAATAAAACAAGACAACAAAAAGTATCACATCATTCACACTATAATTTAGAGATATGGCATAATATCTTTGCCATCGGAACCTGTTGTGAAAGCTTTTTAATACTCACAAAATGGCCACTACCCACTAAATATACAACCATCTTTTTCTCGAAAACTATGCTGCACCTTTTCATATTGCCCGGGAGTACAATTTATTGCAAATGGTATTGGTATTTGCATTTCTGAGAATTATGGAGAAAGTTGGTCATAAATCTCATGACAATATTCATTGATGTAATAATGTCCTAATAATTTTCAAAAATTGTTATTTTCATAGAACACAATGTTAAAGAAAAATTACAGCTTTTAGCACTTTTAAAACCAAGATTTCTGAACTAATTCAGAATAATAGGTATTGCCCCATCATTAACAATATATTATTTGTTCACCCTATGTTGCAGCCTACAATTTGAAATATAGCATAATATCTCTTGCATCGAAACCTATGGCAAAAACGTTATAATACTGACAAAATGGACACTATGTATATTTTAATATAATCCATAATTTTCTTGAAAAAAATCAGGCTGGTGACCCAGACTTTTTTAATGAGATATACTTATAAAGCCCTGTCATATACCTGTCATACAACACATGCTGAAGGTGTTGTATTAATGATTAAAGTACAATTCATTTCGTAATTTCATTATAATTTCATCTAGGAAATCGAAAAAATGAAAGATGAAAATTTGCCACCAGTTGAAGAAAAAAATAGCAGTGATGAAAAATTCTCAAATTCGGATGGTAAGTGTTATAATGAGATCCGTGACATTGTACGTTTTCACTGATTTTATGTCAAAATGCAGTATATCCTCCCAATAACAGTGCATAGATGGCAGACGGGATGACGTTGTCAGAACGTTATTTATTGTGACTTATTGGACAGCAGAGTTTACAATTTACCGTCTCAGGCTCTAAAACAAATCACTGGGAACATGTAGAAAATTTGAATGCTAGTTCGATACAGAGTTTGAGCAGATTGTAAATAATTGTGACTTGATATTTGTGTTTTTCTTCCAAGACGAAGAACAATCAACTGAATCAATCGAAGGTAGTAATTATAGCGAACAATCGAAAAACGCGAAAAGTTCTTCCGAGGTGCAATTAGTAAACAAACAGCGTGATGAAGAGTTACCTCATGGCGAAGACAGCCTAAGGAAGGAAGTAGTGAAGTCTTTGCTACGGAACCCATCTCAATCCTCAACTGAAACATCGGATGAAGAAATCATATTTGAAGATGAACACGAAGAACCTTTACTGCCAAGTAAGTAACCGGAGTACAATCACAGTCTCAGAAACGACTTTAAACAAATTTTATTTGCTATTATTGACCCCTATACACCGAATCTGATTTTTTTTTTACTGTAGGACCACACACGAGATCTCGTCTTTTGTTGTCGAGAATAATTTGTTGCCAGAGACTGTGTAGCTGCTGTAGATATCTGACTCGAAGACCTAGAAGTTTCAAGAAAGATGATTTCGATAATTGGTTTCCCATTGAGCCTATGGATACCGATTGATGACGTCACAATCACTTCATCTATACGTTAACTTCTCGTGTATTTAGGTGCTAGTTTTGCGTATTAAACGTCAAATGGACATGCATTTTCCACAGAATAATACGCATAACATAACCTTATAAATTATTCACCGATCAATTTTGACGATTGTTGACTACTTACTTTTACGAAAGCACGCAAATCGATAACAAGGACTTTCACCGTCCCAAATTTGTAAATTGTTTATATTAAAATTGCACCACATCCAATTATAAATTAATATATCCTTTAAATGTTTACAACAGTTTTCCCTTTTCCCCAAAAATTAGGTATATACCCAAGAAATTGCCAAATAAAACATAATATATAGATACATAATGTTTACATATGTGTTATAATATTGAAATAAATAAACGGCAAGTTTTTAAATAAGTTCCCTGGAAATTTAAACCAATTAACAATAACAAAATAGGAATTGGAATTGAATAGGAATTAACGAATAAAGTTCACACCACTACAGGTTTACTTGTTGTTCATATACCTTAAAATACAGGTCTATGATAGTTTCAACGACCATAATAACAATACATGGCCTATATAAAACCGCATGTGGATAATTTAAACGTATTAACAGGGAAAACGAGCTAAAATGTTTGTGATTCAGACATTTTCTACACGCCGTGACGTTACTCAGCATGCTACTGTAACAACCTATACACCATCTGAAAGCTTAGATATATGCGAACGCGGAAGTGCATAAGCCGCACGAATGTTTGTTTTAGGGATTTCCTGTCGGCTAATTTTACTATTGTGCCTTCTTAACCATCACGGCTATCGAAGACACCGCTTTTTACACATTAAATTGTGCGAATGACCTGTGAATTGCGCAGGACCTTCGCGGCGACGTCACGTGGACTAGACGATCGCCGTCACGGTTTATTTTTATCCGCACTTAATTTAGCTACGACAAAATAACTACAGACACGCTTCTGACAATCCGTTGGTTCCGTCGCTTACACACTTTGATTTGTGCAACATTCGAAGTTTTTTTCTGTGGGTTCTTTGTACAGATGTGTGCGCGTTACGTTTTGGTAAATTTGGTCAATCATCTCGTTCGTATGATACCCATATCTGTTGTATGCGTGGCGTGACGACCAGTGCCATGTAAGGACGTTCACGGGCATTCGCCTTTTTAGGTAAAAGTGAAAAAAGTATCACGTTTTCGTTTGAAAAGTAATACATAATTGTTAATTTAGTGTAGTTTTTATCATTTTGTTGGGAGTGAAAGTGTCTGAAAACACGCAGAAATGGAATATTTTGGAATTATTACCGTAGAAATTCATGTTAAAGCCATTGCTGGAGCAAATATAATTATAGAATGATTACCACGTGATCCACGTAAAGGTATTCAGTTCTTTGTCGTCAGTCGTCAATCGGTCGTCTTGGTTCGTCGTCGTTGTACAGCCAACTCAGATCGTGTTAGTTCATTTCCACATATTTTACTGCATCTATCGATTGATGTGTCCTACTAATAAATGACATACGTTATAACTAGACTGAATTGAATTCTCTAACACCAACTGAGTACAGTTCATACTGGTACAAAAGTTTACAACTGTGTTACAATTCAAAGAATATATTATTTGATGTTAGAAGAGTTAGCACGGAAGCTACATGTAGACATGTAGAAAATTGCCGATTAAGGAGCAAATCTACTCGTTCTTTTCCCTGAAACCGAATAGGTGGCATTGACATATTTAATCTTTGGCATTGTTGTTCAAATAATAAATCTTTTTTTTTCAATAAATCGATAAATTAATGTCTATTGTGTCATTAAATTACCGGTACGTAATATTAAATCAATGTGTTTGCGTATTGAAATACTGGTACGTGCTATTATATTTCATGTCAATGTGTATTAAAATATTGGTACGTACAAATAAATAAATGTGCATGCGTTTGGAAATAATGGTATGTAATATTAAATCAATGCGCATTGAATTACTGGTACGTACTATTAAATCAATGTGTTTGCGTATTGAAATGCTGGTACGTACTAGTAAATTAACGTGCACGCGTATTAAATGAATCAATCAATCAACTAGGCCCGTATATCAAGTCAATAATAAAACATCGTCGCAAACCACGCCCTCTTTCGGCAACTGATGGTTTTGAGTGGGCGGAAAATATACTCTGGCGGGCGAGAATGTAATAAAAAGAAAACGCGCTCATTCACAAAGCATGATTATAGACAATTGAACAGTGGTACATCATTTCGGTTTCTCTGTCATTCAACTCTACTCCTTCCAATTTCAACATACATGATACATTTATAACTAGTATACTGCGCATTTGTTTAGATAACATGACTTGGAAATAGATAACATGTGAATATTCTACAGATAAAATTCAAATTTGAATCAGTAACTAGTAGAATGGTTAACTAATGGTGTACTTCTGAAATGGTTGCTCCCAAATCAATATCTGACTAAAGGGCGCCATCAATGGTGGTCATATCCTGACGGTAATCGGAAATATATTGTAAATAATTATCGACGGCTTTGTAGTTGAGCGATAAATTCAGTTTTCAATCAAAAGCATTGGCGTTTTAGTATGTTTTGATGAAATTGAGCGCATAACACACGAGAATATCGTTTTTGTTTGTTAAAAACACTCAGTGGGTAACAAATGTTTCGATATTCAGTTGTGTTTTATAATATGACATTGAACTTAATTGGGGAGTATTTCAAGACATCAATAAATATTCTAATCACTCACCTAAACATTATTTTTAATAATATCTTTGACTCTGATAATTTTTCACATGATTTGGCTAGAGCAATTGTTGTACCCATTCACAAGAAATGAGATTCAGACGACCTAGGAAACTACAGGCCGATTTCGTTACTCAATGTTTTGGGAAAATTTTTACTTTCATCTTAAATAAACGGCTTTATTTCTGGGCAGAGGCCCTTCGAAATGTAGGCGAGGCACAGGCGGGATTTAAACGTGGTTATTCCACTTTTGACAATGTGTTTGTTTTTCAATCTATTGTCCAGAAATTTCTAACAAAAAAACGGGGTAAATTCTACTGTGCCTTAAGTTTGTAAACTTTTCGAAGGCATTCGACAGAGTAGAGAGACAAAGACTTTGGTATACCTTATTAAAAGGGGGAATAAGTGGTAAAATTTTGACAAGTAGGTATTATAATGTTATAATATATTATAAGTCATGTGTGAGGACCGTTGGTGGTTTTACAGATTATTTTGAGTGCTCAATTGGTGTTCGCTAAGACTGTATGCTGAGCCCTTTCTTATTCTCCCTTTTTATCAACGAGTTGGTAACTGAACTGGAAACAACGGAACAACATGGGATTCAACTTTCCCCGCATGATACGGAATTATTTTGCTTATTATTCGCGGATGATGTAACAATGTTCTCTGATTCAATAGTAGGGTTGCAACGTTTATTTAATAAACTGAATTTATATTGCGAAAAGTGAAAAATGGTAGTAAGCATAGAAAAGACAAAGGTTATAGATTTTAAAAATGGCGGTCATCTATTCAATTATGAGAAGTTGTACTATGGGGGCCAGCCCATAGAAGTAGTGTCATACTACAAATATCTAGGTATTGTGTTTTCCTGCAGGTTGCAGTGGTCTTCGGCAACTAACGTTTTGGCCCAACAAGCGAAAGAAAACTGTATTGCCATCTCAAAAAATACAAGTAAAATAGATCCCCTGCCCTATAAAACTTTTTTCAAAATTTTCGATTTAATGATCTTGCCAATATTAACATACGCGGCAGAGATATGGGGTTTTAGAAAATATGACACTTTAGAACGAGTCCAGTATTATGCATATTATTATTATGCAGACGATTTCTAGGCGGTTCAAACAGAGCTCCGAATAATAGTGTTTTGGTGAATGTGGGAGATATAATCCCATTTACTTTTATACAGCAAAGCGGTGTGTGAAATACTGGGCGAAATTGGTCAATATGCCACCTTCCAGGTATCCACGCAAATGTTACAATATGTTGTATAACATAGAAGAGTCAGGGTTGAGATCAAAGAATACATGGGTAGCTGAAGTAAAAAACTTATTTCTGATTAGTTATTTCTATGTAACTTAGATGAAACGTGGCATGCCCAGGAGGTTAAAAATATCAATATATTTATGGATGTTTTTTGCGAACGATTCAAATATTTCTTGCATTGTGAATGGGTTGGGGTCATATGTACAATGAATAAATTAGAAAATTACAGAGAATTCAAAACTACAATTACACCCGAGCATTATATATTTTCAGTTAATATCTTTAAACATAGAAGCTATTTATCAAGATTCCGTTGCTCAGCCCATTGTTTGCCTATTGAAGCTAACCGAGAAAAAACGGAAAGAGATCAAAAGGTTTGTGCTCTCTGTGACTTGAACCAAATGAATGAATATCATTTTCTTTTAGTCTGTACATTTTTTTTTTTACAAATCTCAGAGACAAGTACTTACCGTATTTCTTTTATAACCCACCTACTTTTAATAAGTTCATTGACTTAATGAAATCAGAAGATAAAAATATTTTGATGCGGCTTGCAGCTTTTGTATTTCAAGCCCTAAATTTAAGGAGCGAAATTACAGAATTGTTGTAATATTATTATGATGATTGTAAATGTACATGTATATTATTATTTTGTTTTCAAATAAGCAACCTGTACAACTTTTTTGGACTATGGCCTTGACTAAGTGAATAAAGACTCACTATAAAAAATGAACTTACATGACAGATTAGATTGAAAAAATAGAAAAAATATCCCTGAAAAAAGCGAGAAATAAGAAAAATGGAATGAAAAAAACCAACCAACACTACACTATTTCTTATGTTAGGCATTTTCATTTTTTTATTATCGAAAACTCAACACAACTGTGACCTATTGCGTAACAAACTAATTAGCACAACCAGAAATTGATTAAAAGTTGTTATCCAAATGAAACATGAAACCATCAAAAGTTGCCTTGTAAACAGCCATTTAATTCATAGAAACGAGTAAACCTGTATACCTGTATGTACGAAACCTATGAATTTAATTTAAGAAAAGGAAACTGCATCTATATTTATATAAATACAGAGAACAGAGAACATTGTCTTGGAACACTAAATGTGTCAATTGCCTCACTCTCTGTGATGATTTTAATGGTAAACCTCACTTTAAATAAGCCACTCCAGCCACATGGCGCCCGACGAGAAGATGGATAGTCAAGAAAAACATTGACTGAAGCATTGCAAAGGACTGAACAGCTATCATGGTTTTACATCACAACCCCCAAAGAACACAATATGCAAAGCAAGGAATATCTACAAACATATTGAACAAAAAGACATTGCAAGAACACTCCCTTCCCCCAAAGACAGACATATAAATACTAAATTTCTATGATCTTTAAGTAATCCACAGTAGAACGAGATGTTTATTTTAATATTGGATGCAACCATTATTATATGGGGGTCCACGGGTCATAACTTAATGGGAGTTAACACCTATGATTTAGAAAATGCCTTGATCAATAAGAGTCTAAGTTACATGGCAACATTATTATGATTTTTCAGTGGACCAATAAATGCATTTGACAGGGTAATATAAAAACTCTATTACGACAGCAATTAAAACAGCTTGTAACACTTCCTGTCAAATTAATGGTTCATGCTTATTCAAATCAGACATAACAGGCAAATTCTATAACGTCTTGCGAGGCTCAAACTTCTATTCAATTAGAACATTCCAGAATAAAGATGACTCCGCACAAATGCTAGAGGGCGCTAAAGCCAAACATTTGGCATTATTTATAATATTAAAACCCCTAAAACGAGACACTGAATCGTTACGGATATCGAGTTACGAACACCGAGTTACGAAAACATATATTAAAAAAAAACACGCCCACTTTTGAGAAACCATGTCCAAATTGTTACTCGATGATCGATTAACAGTTAACAGACGTTCGAGTTACGGGCGACATCATGAATTTCTGTTTTTGTTGAACGTCCACGTTTAGTAACTCAAAGTTTTATTAACGAACTTCGAGTTACAGGCGTCATAGATTTTTTTATTTTGTTTAACGTTTTATGTTTCCCGTAATTCGAGCAGTTAATTAAAATTAAAATTAAATACGAGTGACTAAATTTGAACGTTATTATTATTATTTCTCCTCATATATCCAATAATGCAATATGAAGATGACACCATTGTTTAGCTGTGTTTCTTTTAATAACTACTCGTGCATCCGTTCCTGTGATCTTAAAATGATTTGATTTATTAAAACGCTTACATTGTTTCTTTGAGCTACGATTCCCAACATTATATATCCACCATTTTTTATTATTGTTCATTATTGTTCACTCAAACCATGTTTTTTTTTCTTGCAATTTTTGTAACAAAATTGTCATTTTTGCGTGATTTGGCTAAATCTGCTAATTTAAAATGATTTTTTTTGTACCGCTACCTCCATAAAGCATACAAGTATACAAACGCTCACAACAAATCCAGTAATATATCTAAGCAAAACTACGAGAAAAATACTGGCCAGCGTTTTGAAAATAACGAGATTGCATATCAGATTAATGCACTACTAGTATCTAATAACAGATATTGGAAAGCATATTACCAACATCTGGTTCTCATGATCAACAACCTGAGTATAAATGTCTTCATTTTATATCTAGCAAGTGTTAACGCATATCGTGAAAATG